TCCAACAAGACTCTCCTGCATCGACAAGGAAAAACTCTTAAAAAACCCAGTGGGAAAAAGTGAGAAACCTTGGGGAGACCTAGGGAAACCCACAGGGAGGGAGACCCATTTGAGAAAGGGATCCGCTCCTCCGGACGGACAGGCTAATGATCTAGGACCTAAGCTAGCTACAGGACGTGGACCAGTGGCCGCTGAACGTGGACAGGTCCGGTGCAGGACTGAAGCACTCCCAGGCGGGTCGGGCGGGGCAGTCCGCAGGTGCAGATGGAGGAGGCCAGGCTCAGAGATCCCGTCATCGTACCATGAAACAGACAATGGGACAACGGGTGAATAGCAATGAACACGATGCACCAGAGATACACAACAGTTTTTATTGCCCCACACACGTCCACGTCTGCTGTGAAAGGACCTTAAAGAACTTCCTGATGCACCAGACTCAAACCTGTATACAGTATATGTATTTTTTCCAACTGTCCGTTTAAACTGTTTTTAATCCATCACATCCACAGGTCACCACCAAATCTGACTTGATGCTTAAATGTGGTCTGTGCATTGCTATTCACCTGTTATCCCTCTGTCTGATCCACGAGCACACTGGTGGGACTCAAAGCCCTGAACTCATTGGACTTGAGGATGATAAGTAATAATTGCTTGAAGCGAATGGTTGTTATCTTAATCTGACACATTCTGACTCCATCCGTCCATCCATCCATTTTCTTCCCCTTAATCCATTTCTGGATCAGGGGGCTGGCAGTCAGAGATGCCACCCAAGTCACAGAGCACCAGCCCCTCACTGATCCTCTGCAGGTGGTGAGTCCACAGGAGGACGGCTGCTCTGTCAGTGTGAGCATAGTGTGTGATCGGACATCAGTGGGAATCGGTGGAGAAGATATCGAGGTGGGAATTGAACCCACAACCTTCAATGCTCTACCAACTGAGCTACTGTCGCCCACATTTTGACTCTTAAAAAAACCATATTCTTGTGTTTCTTGGCAAATTCTTTTATCTTTTTAAATCAAGATAATTTTTCTCGTCCCGTTGGCAAATCTTGTTCTAAGGCTCATTCAGAATGTGCGCAAATGAAAATACATTTTGCCAAATTTGAGTCATTTTTGACTTATTTTTCATAACTTTTTGCAGTGTAGTCTTCAGTCTGAAACCCGGGTCTCCCTGGACCGCAGGACTCATCTCCAGTCTGTCTTTGGGAGGAAATAAAAATTGATTTGATTTGGATCTTTGTGTTTTATGCCTGTTCCTGGGTAAAATAAAGATAAGACTAAACCAGTCCCTGATACTGGCGAGGACGGATGTGTTTGTGAAGGTGCAGAAGTCTCTGGTCTCTCTCTGATGTCGTTTCCAGTCGCTTCGTGAAACGTTCATTTATTTACAGTCGGAGGTTTGGTCTCTGCTCTAATCCCAGATTTCAAACCCCGAACACAGTCTGGAGCATAAACATTTGCCCAGAGTCACTTAAATATTTGAACTTCACTTTTCCAAAACATAACAAAGCTTCAGCCGTGTTTTATCGGCGACGGTCGACTCCAGCAGCGAAAGTCTTCAAATCCTCCGCCGTTCAGAAAAAAGGGAAAACCGAGAATTATCTGAGGTCGAGATTAGACAGAAGACTGAGAGAACGGAGAAAAATAAGTGGATAAATACAGAAAACATGCATTTAAGTGAAAGAAACGTGACTTTAAAGGGTCTGACATAGCTCCTCAGCAATGTACTGAAATATCAATGGGCCCAATACGCACCCTTGTGGTACCCCAGCCAGTGCCAGCTTTGTTACTGTTCTCACAGGAGCTGACAGAGATGACAAGAGATTTAAACAACTTCAATCAATGAAAAAGACAAGTTTATTCAAAATTAAGCGCATTGGAATGTGTTTATTACCAGTTTATTACCAGTTTAAGAGTCAAAATGTTGTACGTATTGTATAGAATTCTTACGTCAATTTTTATGATCAGGTTCCGGTCTTGAAGCTGGCGTACGTAACTTTAGTCTTACAAACAACACGAATAGATTTTCAAACAGAGTGAGTCGTTTAAAAGTAAAATATGTTATGTTGGAAAACATGTCCAGTGAGTCGCTATTTGACTCTTTGGGCTGAGAGCTGATTGGCTGAGAGAGGGGGGTCCGCTTTTTTTCACTTTTTTGTCAAAGGTCAAAAACAAAAACAAGTGAAAGCTAGTAATAGAAGCAAAATGTTATAGAGCCAAGAACTAGAGACATGGATTTTTATGACAGAGATCCAATGTTGTTGTGTGAAGGTTACACACCAGTTACGTACGGCAGCTTTAAAGTTACGCACCCCAGCTTTAATAACAGTGCATTCGTTCTGCAGCTCTCTGAAATGAGGCGGTCCTGCAGAGTGCGTGCGATGGTGTTAACGTGTTTATTGCTTGGTCCTGGACTCTGATTGTTTGGACGGAGCTTCTCTCTGGGGTGAGGCAGAGGTGAGGCCGCCCTGTCCCGCGGGCTGCCAGGTCTGGGGGTTTTCAGCCTCCGCGGGCCCGCTCCTGGTGTTAACCACAATGATGGAACTTTGTAAAGAAATCAGTCCTGGGTCTACAGCCTCAGACCTGGATCTACAGCCTCAGTCCTGGATCTACAGCCTCAGTCCTGGATCTACAGCCTCAGTCTTGGATCTTCAGCCTCAGTCCTGGGTCTACAGCCCAAGTCTTGGGTCTACAGCTTCAGTCCTGGATCTACAGCCTCAGTCCTGGATCTACAGCTTCAGTCCTGGATCTACAGCCTCAGTCCTGGGTCTACAGCCTCAGTCCTGGGTCTACAGCCTCAGTCTATGATCTACAGCCTCAGTCCTGGATTTGGGGGCTCTAAATGTAGACACAATATTTTGGACTACTGTAGGTTTCTCATCTACATGAAGCAAAGACACTTTCCAACATATTTGTGACATGTTCGTTGATACTTTTATAAGGAAAGAGCAGCTCGTGCAACAGCCCAAACTTTAACTGTGATAGCTTCACTCACCCAAACACGGCTCCACGGCTCGTTACGCTCTCATTATGCAAAGTATCGTCCCCTGTGTGATGTGTGTGTAGTTTTAGAACCTTCCCCAGAAACACTTGTGAGCTGTGGCCTGGAACACACTTGAATTGTTTTCAAATTGTAGCCATACGGTACCTGCAGGTGAAAGCCAGATCCTGTCAGACCTCTGAAGCTAAGCAGGATAGGGTTTGGTTAGTACTGTGAAGGGAGACCTCTGTTAACTTCACAGTTGTGCGGTTGTGGCTATAAAGGTTGTGTCCTTAGGCAAGACACTTCACCCACGTTGCCTAGAACATGGGTGTCAAAGTCAGGGCCTGGGGGCTAAATCCGGTCAGCTATTTGGCCCCAGGATGATATTCGATTAGTATTAGAAGCAGCCGCACTGAAACATTAAAAAAATAGATTTTTAATTTAATGTTCAGGACGTGTGTTTTCTCTTTGAAGGAAGTCTGGTTTGTCTGTGAGCTGTTGGAAATGTTTTAACAGGAAATGACTGACAGAGGCATGAAAAAATATTGGATACGGTCCTGTGTCTTGGTTCAACAGGTTTTCTGCATCGATTTCATATGTTTTAATAAACATTGAACCAGTCCAGCTCTCGGCTTGTAGCAAATTCGTTTTCTTGGCCTCTGATGTATTTGACTTTGACATCCCAGGCCAAAAGGCGTCTGCTGCGTGTGTGAACAATTGGTGTTTGAGAGAAAAATAGATAAATTGATCCTTTATTCATCCCGAAAGAAATTGTCAATAAATCCCTTGCTCCGTAGCCAATCCCCTTTCTGCTGTGTCCAACCATCCCCGGGCCTCATCACTTGTTGCTCTCCTCAAACCTGGCACCCCCCTCGAACCCCCCTCCCTCCACACTCCTCCCCCTCAGCCTCTGCGCCTCCTCTCCGCTCCACACCGCAGTCCTCCGCTCCGCGCAGAGGACAACACGTCCAGAACTGTGCCAAACGTGCGTCTCTCCTCAATTCGCGCGCGCCGTCTTTACGCACGGACACGGGGCCCTGTTCCACCGTTACGCCCGGGACTCCCACCAGCAATCTGACACTTGAAGTCCCCCACGGCAGCCTACGGAACCGCCCCGGGACTGAGAGCCGCGCACTGGGGCTGGAACCACCTCCAACAGCCCCATACGCTTCAAAACTGTTGTGGCGAGGCGTGATTCAATTCTTTCCTCTTTCTTCCAGCTCTGGGGACTACTTTTGAAGAGCCACGCTTTGAAATGGATCTCAAACAAACGCAAGAACGCATACAACAAACGCAAACTTGAATTAAAGTCGAATAAAAGCATCAGGAATCGGGGTTGTGTTGTTCCTGCGTCTGCTTGAATGGATCTACGCTGTAAACTGTGACAACAACTTCCCAAAGCGATTTAAATGAACCAGGAAAGTCCACGTTTGGGTGAAATCTGCGCCTCCAGCAGAGATGTCGAGCCTGTTCGGGGAATAACCAGCTTTTCTCCCACTTTTGGCGCAGAGTTGTGGCTTAAGTTTAGCAGCGATGCAATGAATCTTCCCAGGACACAAAGCATTTGCGCATAAAGAAGAGTTTTTTTCACGTATCCGCGAGCGCTTGTTGTGGAGTTTTAAGTTGCTGTGGAGACATTCCTGACCAAAGAGCTCGTCTTTTGTTAAACTCCTTCATTTACATCCGAAACCCCCGGATCCAGCTGTTATTACACATCTATACAGGCGTGTTTGGAGCTGAACGCTGCTTCACAATATACTTTTTAAACAGTGGGGTTGCTTTTCTCACCACTTAAAGCCAAAGAAATGTGACTTGAATTGAGAGAACTGGACCAAGCACGAGCCAAACTGTGAATCGGAGTGGATTTTACGCACCAAGAATCGATTTATGGCTCAATGACGTCGCCTTTGTCCACACAATCACGCAGAGTTTTGCCGTAAACTTGATCCAAAGTGTAAATTGGAGTGGTTTTACGCGTCGCCTCAGCTGCTCTGGTCTCTCATGCTTCTCTGGAGGCCATGGCGCACATTCCCAGCGCTCAGCAGCAGCAGCAGCCACACCTGCCCCAGGATTACTTCAGGTCCGTGAGCAGTGAGTCCACGGCTTACATGATGGTCCCAGCTCCAGCGGGAGTCTCTGGGGGTCCGGCCCGGGTCAGGGGCTCCAGAGAGGCCCCCGTGTCTCGCGCCTGGGTGGCCCTGGTGGTGGTCGTGGTGGTGGTGCTCCAGGTGGCCTCCACTACCGGACTGTTCGTGTACCTCAACATGTCCATCTCCCAGGTGAGTCCAAGGGCTGTCTTAGACCTGTCATTGATCTGTTTTAGTCCTGTTTTAGACCAGCTTTAGTCCTGTTTTAGACCAGCTTTAGTCCTGTTTTAGACCAGCTATAGTCCTGTTTTAGACCAGCTATAGTCCTGTTTTAGACCAGCTTTAGTCCTGTTTTAGACAAGCTTTAGTCCTGTTTTAGACCAGCTATAGTCCTGTTTTAGACCAGCTTTAGTCCTGTTTTAGACCAGCTATAGTCCTGTTTTAGACCAGCTATAGTCCTGTTTTACACCAGCTTTAGTCCTGTTTTAGACCAGCTATAGTCCTGTTTTAGACCAGCTATAGTCCTGTTTTAGACCAGCTATAGTCCTGTTTTAGACCAGCTTTAGTCCTGTTTTAGACAAGCTTTAGTCCTGTTTTAGACCAGCTATAGTCCTGTTTTAGACCAGCTATAGTCCTGTTTTAGACCAGCTTTAGTCCTGTTTTAGACCAGCTATAGTCCTGTTTTAGACCAGCTATAGTCCTGTTTTACACCAGCTTTAGTCCTGTTTTAGACCAGCTATAGTCCTGTTTTAGACCAGCTATAGTCCTGTTTTAGACCAGCTTTAGTCCTGTTTTAGACCAGCTTTAGTCCTGTTTTAGACCAGCTATAGTCCTGTTTTAGACCAGCTTTAGTCCTGTTTTAGACCAGCTATAGTCCTGTTTTAGACCAGCTATAGTCCTGTTTTAGACCAGCTATAGTCCTGTTTTAGACCAGCTTTAGTCCTGTTTTAGACCAGCTTTAGTCCTGTTTTAGACCAGCTTTAGTCCTGTTTTAGACCAGCTTTAGTCCTGTTTTAGACCAGCTATAGTCCTGTTTTAGACCAGCTTTAGTCCTGTTTTAGTCCGGCTATAGTCCTGTTTTAGACCAGCTTTAGTCCTGTTTTAGACCAGCTTTAGTCCTGTCTTTGACCTGTTTTAGTCCTGTCATTGATCTGTTTTAGTCCTGTTTTAGACCAGCTTTAGTCCTGTTTTAGACCAGCTTTAGTCCTGTTTTAGTCCGGCTATAGTCCTGTCTTTCACTTGTTTTAGTCCTGTTTTAGACCTGTTTTAGTCCTGTCTTTGACCTGTTTTAGTCCAGTTTTAGTCCTGCTCTAGACCAGCTTTAGTCCAGTTTTAGTCCTGCTCTAGACCAGCTTTAGTCCAGTTTTAGTCCTGCTCTAGACCAGCTTTAGTCCAGTTTTAGTCCTGCTCTAGGCTAGTTTTAGTCCTGCTCTAGACCAGCTTTAGTCCAGTTTTAGTCCTGCTTTAGACCAGCTTTAGATTTTCTTTAGTCCTGCTTTAGACCTGGTTTTCTTGTCTTCAAAAAGTGACCCATGACATAATACTCATTCACAGTCGTATGTTTACGTGTAGTTTGTCTGCTGCTGTCTGAGAGGAGCTCGGAGTAGAGCCGCTGCTGTTCTTTATTATTCACATTGGAAACTTGAAACACAGCTGTTGTAGAAGATGTTTTAGTTTGTAGTTTAGTGTGGATCCTCAGCTCTGGTCTGAGGTTTATTTTTTGCTCCAGTCCTGCGCTCGGGACCCAAGACCCTCAGACCCCGAGACCCCGAGGCCCTCAGACCCTCAGACCCTCAGACCCCAATACCCTCAGACCCTCCGACCCCAGACCCAGACCCTGCTGCTGTTGGCTCAGCTGCAGCCGCCTCGCTCGGCTCAGCGTGACGCATGGACATATGAAACGTACAGTTCATGTGAGAGGCAGCTGCGGCCACGAGAGGAACGTTAAAGAGAGAGTGACGAGACCTGACCCCCGCTTCACCCCAAACTCTGTGCACAGACCTGGACTCTGGCTCAGACCTGGACTCTGGCTCTGACCTGGACTCTGGCTCAGACCTGGACTCTGGCTCAGACCTGGACTCTCGTTCAGACCTGGACTCTGGCTCTGACCTGGACTCTGGCTCAGACCTGGACTCTCGCTCAGACCTGGACTCTCGTTCAGACCTGGACTCTGGCTCTGACCTGGACTCTCGGTCAGACCTGGACTCTCGCTCAGACCTGGACTCTGGCTCAGACCTGGACTCTCGCTCAGACCTAGACTCTGGCTCAGACCTGGACTCTCGCTCAGACCTGGACTCTCACTCAGACCTAGACTCTGGCTCTGACCTGGACTCTCGGTCAGACCTGGACTCTCGCTCAGACCTGGACTCTGGCTCTGACCTGGACTCTCGCTCAGACCTGGACTCTCACTCAGACCTGGACTCTGGCTCAGACCTGGAATCTCGGTCAGACCTGGACTCTGTAAGTAAGTAAGTAAGTTTTTATTTATATACCGCCTTTTCACTGCAGATCTGAGTCTCAAAGCGGTTTACAATTGTTAATTTTTGGGCATTTGTCTCTCACTCCACACAGAGATGGGGTCGCCAGTACAGGAGGCGCATGCCAGAACTATTGGACATATTTTTAGTGGTAGGGGAAACCGGAGTACCCGGAGGAAACCTACGCAGACACGGGGAGAACATGCAAACTCCACTCAGAAAGGCCCTGGTCCGACCGGGATTCGAACCCAGGACCTTCTTGCTGAGAGGCGAGAGTGCTATCCACTCAGCCACCGTGCCGCCCACGGTGGCTCAGACCTGGACTCTGGCTCAGACCTGGACTCTGGCTCAGACCTGGACTCTCGCTCAGACCTGGACTCTCACTCAGACCTAGACTCTGGCTCAGACCTGGACTCTCGCTCAGACCTAGACTCTGGCTCAGACCTGGACTCTCGCTCAGACCTAGACTCTGGCTCAGACCTGGACTCTCGCTCAGACCTGGACTCTCGCTCAGACCTGGACTCTCACTCAGACCTAGACTCTGGCTCAGACCTGGACTCTCGCTCAGACCTGGACTCCCGCTCAGACCTGGACTCTCGCTCAGACCGGACTCTGGCTCAGACCTGGACTCTCACTCAGACCTAGACTCTGGCTCAGACCTGGACTCTCGCTCAGACCTGGACTCTCGCTCAGACCTGGACTCTCGCTCAGACCTGGACTCTCGCTCAGACCTGGACTCTCGCTCAGACCTAGACTCTGGCTCAGACCTGGACTCTCGCTCAGACCTGGACTCCCGCTCAGACCTGGACTCCCGCTCAGACCTGGACTCTGGCTCAGACTGGACTCTCGCTCAGACCTGGACTCTGGCTCAGACCTGGACTCTCGCTCAGACCTGGACTCTCGCTCACACCTGGAGTCTGGCTCAGACCTGGACTCTGGCTCAGACCTGGACTCTCGCTCAGACCTGGACTCTCGCTCACACCTGGACTCTCGCTCAGACCTGGACTCTGGCTCAGACCTGGACTCTCGCTCAGACCTGGACTCTCGCTCAGACCTAGACTCTGGCTCAGACCTGGACTCCCGCTCAGACCTGGACTCCCGCTCAGACCTGGACTCTGGCTCAGACTGGACTCTCGCTCAGACCTGGACTCTGGCTCAGACCTGGACTCTCACTCACACCTGGACTCTGGCTCAGACCTGGACTCTCGCTCAGACCTGGACTCTCGCTCAGACCTAGACTCTGGCTCAGACCTGGACTCTCGCTCAGACCTGGACTCCCGCTCAGACCTGGACTCTGGCTCAGACTGGACTCTCGCTCACACCTGGACTCTGGCTCAGACCTGGACTCTGGCTCAGACCGGGACTCTCGCTCAGACCTGGACTCTCGCTCTCACCTGGACTCTCGCTCAGACCTGGACTCTGGCTCAGACCTGGACTCTGGCTCAGACCCGGACCCTGGACCACCTGCGGCCCCATTCACGTTTCTATGTGGCCCCTATTGAAATGAATCAGTGTCACTCTGAATGTTAGTAACTTCATGAGTGCTATAAAGGCATTCTCATAATAATTATACTAAACTTAGCCGTCGTTAGCTTTAGTCCAGCTTTGTCTCAGTCCAAGCAAGAATGGAAATCTAAAGACAACAAGAAAAAAATGATCCATATTCTATAAAAATCATGATGTTGTCGCAAATTATAAAAGGTTAAAACAAAATACAGCTGCAGATGCAAAAGATCAGCTGCACAAACGTAAAGAAAACATTGGATTCTTCAGGTTTCTCTTTCTTCTTTCTCTTTTGTGAATACTTTCGTTCATCAAATACATGTTAGCTACACTTTTACCGGAACTAGCTAACTCTGAAATATGTTGTTCCAAGTCAAATTAAACGGTAACCACGTGAAAACGAGTCTGGTCCCTCACCCTGTACCGATATCTCAGAGGGAAAGAAAGACCCACCCTGCTCAGTGGGGAAGTGCTCATGGTGAAGTTTGGCTCCTATTGACTTCCATGTGAACTCCTCTAGCTCAGTCAGCGTTTGTTTCACACTCACCGTTTTGGGCTTTGGATTTGTTTTGTGAAAATCTCAGAGAAACTTCCAACCCCAAACAATGTAATGGTAATAACAGTATAAATTTTGTCACAATAGTGTTAAGGAGATGAACCGTGAACAAACCGCCAGATAAGAAATGGATATCTGTGTTTCCTCCTCACATTTATGTAACGTCTCAAATGTCCTTTCTTCTGACCGACATCCTCCGTGTTTTTAGATATTGTTGCTACTTCACTGCAAAAAAATGATAAATATGAGGTAATAGCTGCTTGAAACACAACAGTTTGTCATTTCGCAGCCGCCCCACTGTGGCCCCTGGTGTTCCCAGAGGTCTCCCATCACATCACTAACCAGGCCCTGCCCTGCTTAGCTTCACTCATGTTGTTCTGAAAACTAAATTAAAAATAAAACCGCATGAAAACGAGTCCAGACCAGAATGCAGCGATATCCCAACATGGCCCCGGATCAAATCATCACCCTCCCCTCCCTGGTATTTACTTGGTCTCTGGTTTTCAGTGAGACCATGTGAGACACCAGAGGGAGAGACCAGAGAGAGACCAGAGGGAGACCAGAGAGAGAGACACCAGAGAGAGACCAGAGGGAGACCAGAGAGAGACACCAGAGAGAGACCAGAGAGAGACCAGAGGGAGACCAGAGAGAGAGACACCAGAGAGAGACCAGAGAGAGACCAGAGAGAGACCAGAGAGAGAGACCAGAGAGAGACCAGAGAGAGACCAGAGAGAGACCAGAGAGAGAGACCAGAGGGAGACCAGAGAGAGACACCAGAGAGAGACCAGAGAGAGAGAGACCAGAGGGAGACCAGAGAGAGACACCAGAGAGAGACCAGAGAGAGAGAGACCAGAGGGAGACCAGAGAGAGAGAGACCAGAGGGAGATACCAGAGAGAGAGACCAGAGAGAGAGACCAGGGGGAGAGACCAGAGGGAGAGACCAGAGGGAGAGACCAGAGGGAGAGACCAGAGGGAGAGACAAGAGAGAGAGACCAGGGAGAGAGAGACCAGAGAGAGAGAGACCAGAGAGAGAGAGACCAGAGAGAGAGACCAGGGAGAGAGACACCAGAAAAATAGACACCAGAGAGAGAGACCAGGGAGAGAGACAAGAGAGAGACCAGAGAGAGAGACCAGAGAGAGGGACCAGAGAGACAGACCAGAGAGACAGACCAGAGAGAGACCAGAGAGAGAGACCAGAGGGAGAGACCAGAGGGAGAGACCAGAGGGAGAGACCAGAGGGAGAGACCAGGGAGAGAGACCAGGGAGAGAGACACCAGAGAGAGAGACACCAGAGAGAGACCAGAGAGAGACCAGGGAGAGAGACAAGAGAGAGACCAGGCAGAGACCAGAGAGAGACCAGAGAGAGAGACCAGAGAGAGAGACTAGAACATGGATATCTGTGTTTCCTCCTCACATTCATGTAACGTCTCAAATGTCCAAACAGTTAGAGTTCAGGTTGTAGAGATTCATCAGATTTGACTGTGAGGAGATTCTAAGTCCTTTCTCCTGACCAACATCCTCCATGCTTTTAGATATTGTTGCTACTTCACTGCAAAAAATTATTAAATATGAGGTAATAGTAAAAAAAATCTTAATCCGACACTCTGTTGCTTTATCTCCTCATTCCAAGAGACAATTCTGTGTCTTTTAAAAACAAGATCATTTTGCTTTGTCCCGTTGGAGAATCTGGTTTTAAGGCTCAGTCAGAAGGTGCTCAAATTAAGACGTATTTGGCCACATTTTTGCAGTGTTCTAACCTTCATGAGAAAATATAATGAGAACAAAGTTGAAAATGTGGAACTTTGTGATTGTTTTTGTTTCTTGTGGATTATTCCAGGGACGACAGACGTTTGGTCTAAAAACTCAGGCTAGAATCTGACTTTTGACACTTACCAGAGTTACCAGGAAAATGTGTGTTACCGTAGGCTCTGTGGTTAGTACTGGCCCCTGCTCCAGACTGGTTTTCATTAGGAGCAGTGGACCACACACACACACACACACACACACACACACACACATACACACACACATACAGACAGATGCACATAGATTGACACACACAGATGCACACACACACATAAACACACACACACTACATATAGACAGACATAGATGCACACACACACGCAGACGCACACACACACATTTATGTAGACAGACACACACACACAAGCAGATGCACATAAATTGACATACACACACACACACACACACACACTACATATAGACAGACATAGATGCACCCACACACACACACGCAGACACACACACACACACACACAGAGAGACAGACACACACACACACACACACACACACACACAGAGACACACACACACACACACACAGAGACAGACACACACACACACACATTCGTTGCAGAGGTGTGAGGTCCAGTGAGGACTGAGAAACATAACTTTACCATTTCTGTTTTGTCAAAGGTTGAGAGAAACTCTGAGATGTAGAACAGCAGTCTTGTATTCTTCCATTCGATCCAGTTTATATTTATAGCACATTTGGTAAGACTTTATATTAGCCCTCATTTATTAACAGCCATCCATCCATCCATGTTCTTCCCCTTAACCCATGTCTGGGTGGGGGTGGCAGTCAGAGCACCAGCCCCTGACCCTCTGCAGGTGCTGAGTCCACAGGAGTCTGCTCTGTCTGTGAGAGCATGGCCTTGGTCTTTCAGCGGGGGCTTCGGGCAAAGTGGGGTTAAGTGTCTTGCCCAAGGACACAACGACAGTAGACATCAGTGGGAGTCGTGATGTAGGTCTCACTAAAAGCCGTCAAATTGACTGCTCTGAGCGTTTTCATGTAAAAATGCGGTGGTCGCAGTTAAAATGTGGCTACAATGAATACTGCTGACCTCTGCTTTGTCCCTGTGCTTTCTGCTTTGTCCCTGTGCTTTCTGCTTTGTCCCTGTGCTCTCTGCTTTGTCCCTGTGCTTTCTGCTTTGTCCCTGTGCTTTCTGCTTTGTCCCTGTGCTCTCTGCTTTGTCCCTGTGCTTTCTGCTTTGTCCCTGTGCTTTCTGCTTTGTCCCTGTGCTCTCTGCTTTGTCCCTGTGCTTTCTGCTTTGTCCCTGTGCTTTCTGCTTTGTCCCTGTGCTTTCTGCTTTGTCCCTGTGCTTTCTGCTTTGTCCCTGTGCTCTCTGCTTTGTCCCTGTGCTTTCTGCTTTGTCCCTGTGCTTTCTGCTTTGTCCCTGTGCTCTCTGCTTTGTCCCTGTGCTTTCTGCTTTGTCCCTGTGCTTTCTGCTTTGTCCCTGTGCTCTCTGCTTTGTCCCTGTGCTTTCTGCTTTGTCCCTGTGCTTTCTGCTTTGTCCCTGTGCTTTCTGCTTTGTCCCTGTGCTCTCTGCTTTGTCCCTGTGCTTTCTGCTTTGTCCCTGTGCTCTCTGCTTTGTCCCTGTGCTTTCTGCTTTGTCCCTGTGCTTTCTGCTTTGTCCCTGTGCTTTCTGCTTTGTCCCTGTGCTTTCTGCTTTGTCCCTGTGCTTTCTGCTTTGTCCCTGTGCTCTCTGCTTTGTGCGACACCTGTTTGTCCTGAACTGAGTAATGTGAAAACACTGGATCTAAAGCTGGGGTACCATTAAGACATTTTATACTAGCTTCTTTATTATGCTAATGTTAGAGATTTTATACTAGCTTCTTTATTATGCTAAAGTTAGAGATTTTATACTAGCTTCTTTATTATGCTAAAGTTAGAGATTTTATACTAGCTTCTTTATTATGCTAAAGTTAGAGATTTTATACTAGCTTCTTTATTATGCTAAAGTTAGAGATTTTATACTAGCTTCTTTATTATGCTAATGTTAGAGATTTTATACTAGCTTCTTTATTATGCTAATGTTAGAGATTTTATACTAGCTTCTTTATTATGCTAAAGTTAGAGATTTTATACTAGCTTCTTTATTATGCTAAAGTTAGAGATTTTAGACTAGCTTCTTTATTATGCTAAAGTTAGAGATTTTATACTAGCTTCTTTATTATGCTAAAGTTAGAGATTTTATACTAGCTTCTTTATTATGCTAAAGCTAGAGATTTTATACTAGCTTCTTTATTATGCTAAAGTAAGAGATTTTATACTAGCTTCTAGGGCTGCACAATATATCGTAAAAATATCCTTATCGCGATATTGGTGCGTGCAATATCCATATAAAAAATATTTGCCATATATATATATTTTT